CATGAAACAACATCAATTAATCATGATATTATCAAACCCTAACCCATCATAAAACACTTAATAAAATAACTTACAACTATCAAAATTTAGATGTAATACCTTGAATAACTTCCTTGAACACCAAGCTTTCTTTTCCACCAATCAATTTCTCAAAATCCTAACTTTCTCTCTCTAGATGAATAGTACTAGGCCTTTTGGAATGAGTGTTTCTCTTACTACAAGTGTAAGAGTCCGCACCGTTAATTTAGGAATTTAAATAACTTAATTATGAAATTAAAGAATAATTCCATAATTGACCTTGAATAAATATGGTAAGACTTAAATAATTATTATAAGGACTTAATAATGCTGAAAGTCGTTTTTCTAACGAAAAGTGCAGATACCAGTTCTGCTTCACGGTATAAGTGTGTACCAATGAAGTATCCCGGAAAATTATAAAGAGTATGTATATATTCCTAGAATAATATTTAGGACTGGGATATCAAGTTTGAAGTCGAAATAATGAGAACTGACATCAGGACTTATACCGGCTACGTAAAAATGCGTACCGGCAAAGTGCTGCGAAAATTATAATAAAAATATGACAAATCCTAGAAAAATGGCTAGGTTCAGAATCTGAAGTTTTAGATTAAAATGATTAGTGGAACGATTAGTTCTAATACAGTGGGATTAATTAAGTGGACTTATAAATGCTAAAGGGCACAAAGCCCTAGGTCAGATTCTAACATTTCCTACGTGAGTTTCTGGTGCTATTTGGTTGCTGCCACCTTCCTCCACCTTTCCACCTTCATCTTTCTCCATAGAAATCCCTCAAGACACCACTTTTATGATGGATCCTTCTTCTCTAGCCTTGTAGAAACTTGTGGGCAAACCTTGGGAGGTAAAGAGACACCATATTCTGAGTTGTTCAGCCACTGTATTGAGTGTGTGAGGCTGATATCTTTGGTTGTTGGGTTGGAGAGCCATTTTCTTGGCACTTGGTGCTTCAAGAAGCTACCTTTGAAGGAAAAAGACCAAGCTTGTGTGTGTCAAATTCATGGCTTTGTGAAGTCAGTGTTGTGGAGCTGTGTGGGAAGCTCCAAGTCAGCCCCTTTTTTTGAGTTCTTGAACCTTGAGGTAAACCATGATCACTCTTTTTGAAATTCCATGGTTTGAGCTTGTTTGAGTGATTAAAGAGTGAAACTTTGAGCATTCAAGTTAAAGGTTGATAAACTATGCTTAAAATACATTAATGAACTTCTGTTTGTGGAGTTATTGGACTCCAAATCGTGGAAGAACTTTTAAAATGAGACTTATGCAGAAAATGCACGAGTTTCTGCATTCTGTCTGATCAGTATTCGAATACTCATCAGCAGGTAGTCGAATACTCATGAAGGAGTATTGGGATACTTTTCTGGGAAGAAAAGTATTCAGATACCATAGTGATAATATCCGGATACCTTGTGGTATTCGAATACTGTAGGGAATGTATTCGAATACTCATCGATGAGTATTCGAATACCTCCTGCAGATTAAGCCTAAAATCACCTAAAACAAGTTGGAAAGCCTTAAACACTTAGGGGGCGTTTGGTACAGGAGAAATTTAAATGCATCCAGGAATCGTGATTTCAAGGAATATAGTGAGAAAATAATTTGATCAGAAATGTTAGAAAAAATTGTTTGGTTGATGAAAATATTGCTTGGAATTTCGTACTAATTTTTGAAATACTATGTTTTGTTAATAGTAAAAAATTGCTGGGAATTTCAACGAATTTACACAATTAACCTTCGGTTGACGTTTTAAAATATCCAGCCTCATTTCGTCTCTTTCATCATATCAGACTTTATCATCTACTATCTCTCCGATTTACAGATATTGGTTTTGTGTTTCATCGTCCTTTTGGCGTTTCGTCGTCCTTTTTCTGTCTGCACGTCCTGCGTTCTTACTCGGCGACCAGCTCTCCGACACGGTGGTTGTTAGCCTCAACTCTCTCGCTGTCGGTCCGTCAACACCCACACAAGCTTGGATCCATTATCGTACTCGAAATCATATTGGAGGTGCAAACCATTCGTTGGTAAGCGGCGTGAAATTTTGGATCTTGTCAAGTAAAACGTGTTGTTTGGTTGGACCTATTCCAAGTTTCTTATTTTGTATACGGTTTCCCTTTCTTGTTGGTCTAAGACCTTTTATTCAAAGAATAAATTGGTAGGAAAAAATTTGTTTTTTTTAATTGGTAAAGGAACAGGTTTGAGTTTTTTTTTTTTTTAAATTGTTGGTTCTGCAATCTTCACCTCCGGGGATGCTTTGCTCATTTCAAGGTCTCAAAAGATGACTGCTTTCTTTGATTGTGGATTGAGTTTCATTGTTTCAATTGGATGAAATGAAATTTGTGTATTTTCCACCACTGTATTCTTCAAATTAAAAGACTCATTACCATGTCATTATGGGCATGTTTTTGTACCTGGTTCCGTTTATCTTTTTTGTTGTTGGAAGATATAACTTTTTAGGGTTTTATTCACTGTCTTTAATTCCTTTATCTTGCTGCCAATCCTAACCCATGCATGCAAACCTTTCTTGCATCTTGGATGATCACCGCTAGTCTATGGTAGTTAGCAAAATACAATTTCAAAACTTGATATTAACATGATTATTTTCCCATATTAGAAAATTTCACAAACATGTTGTACTCTCCAATATTTGATTATCTAAATGGTCATATGTTACACCTTGTTGGGGATTGGGGTATAGGAAATTGACCGGTATGTATAAGGGTTCATCATAACTTGATTTATGAAGTGATCCCGTAGGTAAAAGAACTTTAATTGAAGGTAGGACAGGTGGAGATCAGTCTGGCATAGGTGGGAGTGAAAGTGTAATTTCCAGGCATTCGTCGTGTTTATCGTCATTGAGGCTGAAGACATGCTACTGTGGAGTGACAGCTGTGCTGCGTAAGTCTCGGACGCCGAGGAATCCAGGAAGAGAGTTTTACGGATGTCGTAATTTCAGAACAAGTCAGGAGTGTGGCTTCTTTGAATGGTTTGATGAACCCAGATGTCGTTATTGTAAAATAAATGATAATTTGACTAAAATATTAGTTGTTTTGGTAATAGTACTTGTAATGATATTAGGGATTGTCATATATGGTATGTTGTTCAGTTGTAATGTAGTGATATTAGGGATTGTTTTATATGCTATGAAACAGCGTTTGTTCAGTTGGAATATAATGGTCTAGTGTTAGTTATTGTGGATTAACAATCTGTGATTGTATGTAGAGTTGTAAATTTAGAGAACCTTAATGATGTGGAACCCTTTGATGTAGCATTTCATTTTTATAAAAAACCGATGTTTTCTTGTACAGTTGATATACCAAATGGATAGATAATGGAATTTGTTACACTAGTTACCATTCAATTAAGTTGGTGACAGACATATATAATTTCTAACAATATAATTGTGTGACGAAGAATAAACCAAACGGTGTTGTGCACGATGGATGTAGGTACTCATGAAAAGGTTTTTTTTTATTAACCTATAATAAGAGTATTTCTGTAATGAAAATAACCTGACTTTTAGTTATTAGAATGGCAATAATGAAATTCAGTAAGTTAGAGCATTTTTGTGGCTGCCAAAAATTGAAAATTAAACCAACACAATGTAATTGACTTTGTTGAAGTACAAACATTCCTCTGTACTCTTTATAACAATCTGGGGGAATCAACATTTACAATGGTAAAAATGACAATCCTGTATTATATAGAAAATCAAAAAAATTTAACAATTTTGTAAACATTTCTACTGTCAAAATAACTGGATCGAGGACAAGCATTCCTCTATAGCATTCCTCTGTAAACATGCTTCCCATATCAATGAATCAACAACCCTTCTTCGATCTTCTTCTTTAGCATTCCTTACCAAGTTAGTGTTATGTTGCTAACACCGAAAACCTTATGCACAGCGTGGAAATCATGGCTTTTGTTTGGTGGAAAATAAGGTGCCAAAATACATTTTTCACTGCATTTTGACCTTTGATGCTTGCATACTGCACATGCTGATGGCATCCCATAATTATTTTCCATCCTGTAAAAAGACTTTAAATAAATATGATATACGTTAATCATATAATACAAACAGACTTTAAGTTAATAATATTCTTTTAAATAAACAAGAGTTGTAAACTCGAGCAAAGCCCCAATGAGATATTTCCATCAGATTTATGCTAGCATTAGTCATGGACTTCACGTGCGAACATGGAGGGAGTTTAAATAGGAATACTAAAAAGTGAATAATGACTTTCGGTGAGCTTGTCTGAATGTGCATTACTTCATTAAAGTAAAAGAACATCTTCATTATGTATTTGGTATGACAAAGAGAAAATAGAGAAGTAATATAGACCTGATTCCTTGTTATAGATGACAGGTCAGAAAATGTTTTTGTTTCATTATTCTATTTATGGTGCAGAATGTACTAGATAATAGTCCAAATTTGTGATAAGCATACATACATGCCAGCAAACACAACCACCCTTAAGAGTTGTGTTAAGGATACAAACTCTGAGGTTTAAGAGTTGCAGAGCACCTGTTATACAACCACAAAGATAACAACCAAACAATAGGATCAATAAAATTGAGAACTGAAACAGAAGGGAAAAGGTAGAAGCCAAAATATACAAGTTATGCCAACTGTTAAATGCAATTAATATATGATTTAAGACTTAAAAAGTGAATATATCCTCCTGACTTTTAGTTGGTCATAGCATCCAATACCAGACATTCCAGGTTTGCCTACATCTCTTATGGCAAGGTAATCAAATACGCAGATTAATCAAACATTAATGAAATGAATTATGAAACAAATGACCAAATATAATGCTCTAAATTAACTATGCAAAACTTACCTTATCAAATACAAAATGTTAGTAAAACTTTACCTTATGCTGATTCCCATTGCTAAAATACATACATCTCAGCTAAGGTGAAGCAAATATACATAATGTGGTCATTCATCAATGACAATTAGTTGAACATCCATAAAATACCATTAAGTATAGCATTAATTGCAAAAAGACTAAAACATAAACATATGGACAGCCATATACATCCACGGTGGTTACCCAAAATATTAATACATCCACGGTGGCTTCCCAAAATATTAACATCTTTCATGTAAACTTCCACTTACAAGTAGTTAGCAAAATAATCTCCATGGGATCATTAACAGCGATATATACCCAAAGCTTAACAAAAAAATACTTCATCACCATCATTTACTGAGAATTGTCCAATAATGATTCCACGACCAACTGTCTTTCCTCTTTGCCACCTTGCATGAAAATATTTGTTATATTGTTGTCCTTCCCCATAAGCATAGCAACCTTAACAATTTGAGGCAATGTTAAATCTTCCAACTTTTTTATCTCTTCAATGATTGTCATCCTTAAAGCCCTTTCTTCACCTTGATTCTTAACCATTTCCTTCATAACTTCATTCCCCTCTCGATAACTCTGAGTAAGGTCCTTCATTGCATCAGCCACCACTAAAATAACTGGATCCTCGCTTCTGCCTCTTTTCTTTCCTTTTTTTGCAACAGAAACAGACACAGGAGAATGTGCCATACCCTCTTCAGTTGGATCTTCAGGAATTGGATTAAAAAACGGTGTTTGGGTATAGTCGTCCATTTGGTCATACATATCATCTGCAATTGACCCACACTTATCATTAATGGCAGCTTCTTTGTCTACATCTTGGGCAGCATCTTCTGGACCTACAGCATCTTGACCAGTTGCCATATCCTTACCAAATATTGGTGCTAACATATCAAAGTAAGGAAAAGGCTTTTTGTAGAGCCCTTTTGCATTTGGATGGGTCTGCCAAATGAGGATATAGGCAATTAGTAATCATGTATTAAATTATGGTAATTGCACTAGTGCATACAAACTGTAATACAATAAAACTATATAATTGATGACACAATGGATCAATACAATTCACCTTCACCCAATCATCATATATTTGCCTATCCACATCAATCATTTTGTGCTTATCATTCCAGTCGAAACCGCTTCCACCAGTCAGGCTGATCATTTCGCAGATGGCATTGTAATGCCTTTTTAACAATTTAATTCTGGATGTGATGTGCGGGGTAGATTTCAATGCACATCCGGGAATCCTATCATGAATCATCTTCTCTAGATGAATTGCAAATCCAGGCTTGAATCCATTGTCTCCCTTCCAATTTTGACCAATTTCAAGGAGACAATCTACAAGTACTTTGTCTTCTTCATTTGTCCAAGTGTGGTTTACTCGCTTCCTCAAAGGTTGACTTGCTTCAGCCATCTATTGAATACAACAAAATGAAATATGGTATGAAAAAAAAATCATATGACAAAGTTAGTGTTTAATTCAAATGAAAATATCAAACAAAATATCAAATTACAATAACAGATAGTAATGTAAGTTGTGTTATAGGTTTCATTACATGTCTAACGAAAATGAAAGGTTTAATATCATCAACACTGACAATAGAAATAAACTACCCATGACAATGAACATAACATAAAGATTTGCATCACACACGTGTCCTCCACGTCTTAAACATCTCCTGCGCCAAATCATCCCTCCAGCGTGTCCATGCATTAGGAGCCTCTACATGAGTGATCATATCATTATCTGCCAAGTGATGTTCGCCCAATTGGTTGTCCACTGCATGATCTTCTAAAGGGTCAACAGACATTTCTCTTCTTATATGGTTATGCAGCAAGCAACATGCAATTATAATCTTGCATTGTGTTTTGACCGGATAAAAAGACTTTGATCTCATATGGCCCACCGCCCTTTCAGCAACCCAAAACATCTTTCTATGACATTCCTAGCAGAGGAGTGTTTCATGTTATAAAATTCTCTAGGTGTTGTTGGTTGTGCCCCTTGTCTCCACTCACTCAGATGATATCTTTGGCCTCTATACGGTGTAAGGAATCCTTCCCCGTTCATGTAACCAGCATCAGCCAAATAACAAAAACCTACACAAAATTAAACAACAATTTATAAACTATTATAATATAACTCCTAGCTTTTATATATATGCCAAAGATTTATAAAAGAATCAAACATCATGAAAATACCTTTAGGCACCCTTAAACCGTTGGGACGAGATATAGCATCTCTGAGGACCCTTGAATCTGCAGCTGATCCCTCCCATCCAGGCAATACGTAAATGAATTGACAATCTTGAGAGCAAACTCCTAACACATTTGTTGCAATATCACCCTTCCTAGTCCGATATCTAGGTTTATCAGATAGTAGGGGATTAATCTTGATATGTGTCCCATCAAGAGCTCCTAGACAATTCTTAATTTGGAAAAACATAAAATAGTTATCAAGTCACAGATATTTTGATCCTGTGTTGTCATGCGTATGAAATTAACTTCATTGAACCCTAATATGTTACCTTAAACCATTTCCACTTCTCATCACTTGAATTTGCAGGGACTGGCTCAGGACGTTTGAGTAAAACCACATGACAACGTAACACAGCTTGCAACACCTTCAAGAACTGTCTGCTTATGGTTTCACCAGACCTCAAGAATTGTCTTTTAATTATCTGATTCTTAACATCATGAGCCAAAATGTGAAGAAACATTGCAACAAGCTCTTCCACTCCCATGTGCCCAGTCGGTGCAAGCATTCCCACAGTTTTAAGTAAATCACACAAATTATGAAAGCTCCTTTTATCCATCCTTGTATTCTCAATACAAGCTGTGTCACTAATGTAAACAATTCTATGGACATTGATTTCCCTCATTCTCGCCCTTTTATAACAATCCCATCTAAATCTATTCGAATTACTATTTTTTATAGCATAATTGGATAATAGCAAACCACATATAGTGATCAAGATCAAAGTGAATCGATTCAAACTCTCGAAATAATTAATAAGAACAACAATTTCGTTGCACTCCATTACATTGTTCGTTGCCATAATCTAACACGAAAAAAAATAAATTAATATTTAATATTTTTTCTACAATTGCACTAAATGGAAACAAAGATAGAACCGAAAACCAAGTTACTAATTCGTTGCACAGAAATCACTATTTTCCTACAATTTGGTTTAAAAAAATTTACATCAAACATGAGTAACATACAATTCTGGAACCAGATTTGATGTTGATAGTTTATCAATGAACCTACCAACATGGACTGCATGATCAAAGGGACAAACAGATTGACAGATTTCTCAGCCTTTATGGCCAATGGATTTTAGAGTCAAACATGATAATAAGCAAAACAAAAATGCAGATTCTAATAATCCTGCATTGGTGGGTCGAACACCAAATAATATAATTGATTATCGCAGTTTGGCAAGTAAATAAATCAATGAAATTCACCTACTTACACTGTTCCTCCCTACACACAGTACTAAAAAAATAAGACAACCTTGTCCTATAGCATCCCTGCAAACCAGAATGTTAAATCCACATAGTTCTTTACAAAATGATTTTCGGTTGGTTATTTGTAATCAAAGAAAATACGCAAACAGAATTGGGTTTCAATATACATTTTATTTGAATTGATTAAGAGAGGAAACACATTGACAAGTCCTAAGTGGGATCGAAGATAAGTGCTTAATATCTCAAGGGAGTTCGTGACTCCTTGTTCTCATCAAATGTCAAAACATTGGGCCATTAATTTTAAAGTGTATGAAAAATTTAGATGAAAGGAAAAGTAAAAGAAAGAAAATTCCGGCAAGTATGTAGACATGATGATAGAATTGAAACAACTAATCAACAACAAAACTATACAACTTTTCAAAAAGTGAATAAAATCGAAGTAAAATCATGATTAATAAGGAAAGAAAATACGATAAAATAAACAAAAAGATATCAATGATGGAAGAACTAACCAAATAAAAGTAATTATGATATAAAGTGAGCTAATACTTCAGAATACCATCAACGATTTAAAGTAATCTAGACTCGTATGCACATGCACACCTAATTTTCTCCCATAAACAGTAGTCAAAAAAAATAAAAAATAAAATGAATGAACAAGTTTCAAAAGTCATGCCCCTATTTATTAGACACTGTACTTTGACTTTATAAAGAAGATTAAGATTGATCCCTCGTCACCAAAATTTGAATGCATCATGATAATTAGACAAAAAAATATAACTATTTTCATATGTTTGCATAAGATTTACAATACAATATAAAATACAGAGATCAAATTATAAAGGGAAGAAGAAAAAGTCTTCATCCCAAAATACAGGAGAAGTCCTGTTCAATTATAATTCAAAAGTATGTGTAAGTATTTTTTTTTTGTTCGTAGGTAATATTTATTCTAACCATAAGCATTTCATTTTGATTAGTAATCTTCCTTAATTGAGGGCATGCCTTCCTCTAACAAAACAAACAAAAGGACCAGAAAGGCCAAAATGCTGACTAGTGTCTTGGGTCAGGGGATGAATTGGGAGCCAATGGTACTGCATCAAGGGTAATCATCGAAAATAACTCTTATACCTTTTAAAAAATGTGTATGCTGAAAGAAAGACGTACATATATTATTTCTAACATAAAATCTGAAAAGGAAAACAAAGGCGAGGAGTGGGGAAGAGAGAGGAGAAAACCAACTATCAACCAACAAATCAAGTTTCATAAAATATGAACAAGAACACTAAAACGATGCATCTATTTCACTATTCGTTGAACACACACGCAAAATGTACTTGGTAAATTACAGACAAGCAGGATAATGACAACAAAAAATAGAGTCGAGTTCAAGCAAGGGGTTGCTGTAAGCTTGCCTACTAGTAGTAACCAGACGAAACCTTTTAATAAGAAGCAAGAGATTGTCGGTGTAATTGACAGAAGGGGAAAAAGAAAAAGCAAAAGAAATTAAAACAACTATGACTAATAGAGAAGGTAGGATATATTATTTATTCAACTGCAAAATGGGGAAAAAATTAGAGAGAAAAATAACATACGAACCTTGTTACTGTTCGAACGCAAAAAACGTCTTCTTGTTCTGAAAAAGAAAACGTACAGATAATCAATTTTGCTACCAAAGATTATCGTGAAAGAGAGAGGATAAGTGAAGAGAGGACAAACAGTGGAAGGAAAATTAACCTTTACCAGTTAGAGGACCCGAGAAAGAGTACTACAATCCGCGTCAAACACACCGACGAACGTCCAAGACTAACTCCGGTAGCCAAGTTTCAGGCAACTCCCTTTCTGTATCACAGGATAAGCTTCTGCTTCATGTCTATATAATGGATATGTTTCATCAGCACACACAACCTAGGCCACGATATGATGAAGGGCAGATTTGTCTGAAATTTTTCCACTTTTTCATGTTTCATTTTCCAACGAAGCTGGATTCCTCAAAATTCCACATTTTCAATTGCATTCTAAATCCTGATTCTTATGTGTTATAGCAAATACCAGGAATACAAGTTGTCGACCGTAATTTTGGGTTTCTATGTACCAAACATAGTATTTAAAGAATGCCACTTTAACTTTCCTGGCCATAAAAAACATACCCACGTACCAAACGCCCCCTTAGTGAAACTTTGGGCTATGAAAATTAATGATTATTTTTGGCATAAACAGAATGTGATTGTGTTGTTTGGTGACCTTGGGCTGTTGTGGACTCTTGACATGGGATTATTAGCTTGAGAGGTAAGCTTTTGTGTCTTCGGTTTTTCCTATTGTTGGTTCCACCATACCTCATGGAGGGATGGTTATATGCATGCTGTGTTTTTATGAAAATAAATGATGATTCATGAAATGCTATTGAGCTATTTTATTGAGTGCAAGTGTCATATGATATGTATGTGGTGTACTACCTAGACGGTAATCCTGAGTATGTGGAGACATACAAGATGGCAACCTGTGGGTGAGGTGCAAGCGGTGTTCCTTGTACTGTAGGTTGGAGACGTATGTAATCCCTACATTTTTATTCTTTGGCCAGTAGGATGCATACACATATGACATGGGTATATGCTGCATTGCACAGATTTTGAAAATGATATTGTTATACTGTTTTGAAACTTATATTGCACATGTAAGTGAGCTTGGGGTGGAGAGATCCTTGAGGACCCCTTGTCTTACTGAGATTTCTTTTTAGAGATCTCACCCCGTGTTGGGGCACATTTTCAGGTTCAGGTACCTCTGGAGTTGAGACCTCTGGCGGCAGGAGGCCGGAGTTGAGCTGACTGATGCATGCTTGATGATTTAGTTATTTTACATGATTATGCCTAATTTTCCTGTTATGACTATTGTATTGAGACTTGATGATTATGCTGTTTATTTGATGAGCATGGGGGTTGTCCATGCCACGTTGATTTCAGTCTTGTTGGTTTACGTCGAGTTGTATAATTGTACCAGGATATCGTCCGACCTACGTGTTGTAGTTTCGTGACTAGATACACATTTATGATATGAGGATATTCAGTGTAGTTATTATTGCAATTTACATACAGGCAATATTTTGAAAAAGGAATAAGTAATCAACTTGGTTAATAATGATGACGTCATAATTGAAAAGAAAAAGTCAGCTTCCGCATTTATTTAGTTGCACCATTACCATTTGTATGTTAATACACCGGGTGTACACGGGGTGTTACAACAAGGCTCTTCAAGAAGAAAAGAAAGAGGATTTAGGTTCACAACACCAAAGGCTACAACTTTTGTGTAATGAGTTTTATCTAACTAGAACTACTTGAACTCTCAAGCTCTCTCTCATTAACCTATGTCACGACCATGGATGAGAAAACATGAAGAAAATTTCGTGGTTCCCTTTAAGAGCAAGAATATAACCGGTTATGTGTTGAAAAAAATCACTAAAGTTACTTAACTTTACACTTTACAACTTTACATCAAAGTTTAATTCCTATTGGTTACTTTTCTTCACACTAACCTTGTCATCACCTTATATAAGATTCTAGAATTCTTCCATGTCACTTAGCCACCTCACATGTAGAAAGATGACTAAGTTTGCTTACTTGGACACTTTAACACCTTTAGACTTTCAGACTTTTCATTCATTGGTCCATTTGTTCAAGACTAGTCAACCTTGATTCTAATTGGTTCGTCAACACTAAACTTTGACCTTTAAGAATATATAACATACAAGGTCACAAAGAATCAATCATACATCAAAAATCATGCAAAGAATTCACAAAGTTAAGTTATGTTACTATCTTGACAATTTTGTATACATCTTTGACTTAAATCAAATTCCATTGGTTTATTAATTTCCATACTTTGACCTATTTTTAGAAATTAATCTAGACATTGTTTGATATAATAAGATCTCTTTGAACTTATGAAATTAACTATAGAATTTAATTACATCATCAAAATCAAGCTTTGACCTAACCTAGGTCAATTTCCAAACTAATCCTGACTTTTCACATAATGACATCTATGTCCCCACATATACCTTATACTTATATTAGGTTTCTATTAGACTTGTCTGGCATGAATTGTATTCTTGTATATCTTGTCATCTTAATTTCATGATCAATGAATCATTACTTGATATTACTTGTCACAATTTCCTTGAACACAAATACTTGTAAACTTGACTTGATCTTTTGAACACTTGCTTAATTTTTTTGTTTAACATAACTTAAGATTGAGGGTTGTTATAGAAGTAAGCCTGAAGATTTCTAATGTTCAATCTTCACCTTCTAATATATCAAGCATCTAGAAACATACTCAGCAATGCCCCTCTTCATACCAAGCCACTAGAAATTTTATTTCAAGTCTTGGTACATCTTGGCGACTCCTGGATGAATACTAAACTGGCCTTTATGCACTTCAGCCAACATGTAACACCTCGTGTGCACCCGGTGTATTAAACATATAAATGGTAATAGCGCAGCTCAATAAAATGCGGAAGCTAACTTTTTCCAATTATGAAACTCATAATATTAACCAAGTGAATTTACTTATTCTTTTTCAAAATATCGTCTGTATGTAAGTTGCAATAAATAACTACATTGAATAACCTCATAATATAAATATGTATCGAGTCATGGAACCACAACACGTAGACCAGACAATATCCTGATACAGTAATACAATTCAAGTCTGAATTAAACTTGGCTTATACCAATGTGGCATGGACAACCCTCATGCTCACCAAATAGAACAACATAGTAAGATCATGTCTCGAATACAATAGCCATATAATAAAAGTCAGTCATAATTATATCCAACATGCCAATAAAAACATGCAACATATCAGCTCGACTCCGACCTCCTGCCACTAGAGGTCTCACCCTCAGGAACACCTGTACCTGAAAATGTGCCCCACACGGGGTGAGATTACTAACAAGAAATCTCAGTAAGACAAGGGGTCTTCAAGGACTCTTCCGCCCAAGCTCACTTACAAGTATATAATAAGTTCAGAAACACTAAGTACCATGCATGCTCATGTTAGGGCAATATAATCATGACAATACATCCAAATGCTCAGAAAGTCATGTACCACAGTTCATATCTCATGTGATGTATGCAAGTGCGGTTTAACTGGCCAGAGAACACGATAGACATTACACTCGTCTGCAACTTACCAAAACATGAGGGTCGCTGCCTCATACATTACACACCAGGGTCGCTTCCTGATCGTGTAAGTATCCAACATCACATCCATACATTACATCAACAGACATATCCACATATCTCAGGCATATAACAATGCATATATCATTTTCATAAAAGCATACCATGCACATAAACCACCCTCCCATGGAGGTCGGTGGAACAAGCAACAGATCAATCCGAGGACCAGAAGCTTACCTATCAAGCTAAATCCTCCCTCACAACTTGGTGTCCACAGGGTCACAAGTAATAACAAGGTCCAGCAAAGTCAAGGATCTGTTTTCATAACATTCACATCATCAATATCCATAGTCTAGAATTTCATTGCATTAAGACAACGTTTCCTATATCGTTCAATGGTCGTAGGCTTCTCCAAAGCCATAAAACTTCAATATTCTAGATTCTGACTTAGTTACATCATTAAAAAGGTCCATTCTAACTATTTAAGAGTCTAGAAACCTAAACCACGCTTCTGGACAGAATGGCTCAAACTACGAATACCCAGAATATCTGGATATTCCTCGGGGACATATCTGGATATCAATATCTGGATATCAATATCGGGATATCACATACCCAATATTCGGATATTCATATCCGGATATCATATCCAGATGTTTTACGATAGAATGCAGTTCTGTATTTCGCGAAGATATCCTTCCAAGACTCCATTTTTTATGTTACCAGACGTTCAAACATGCATATTTAAACACATTTAAGCTAGAGTTCATGATGGTTAATTAATCACCTCATTTAACATGCCAAGACTTAATCTTTTACATGAAAACTCAAGAACGAAGGTAGTGGTGCATACCTAAAGGCTCAAAACAGAAGAAAAGAGGTGCCTTGAAGCTCTCTACACCACTCTAGGATTCTGGTACTACAAGGCCACGAAAATGGTTCACAAGCTTGGTCATTTTCTCCATAAAATAGCTTCTTGAAGTATCAAATGCCAAGGAAATGGCTTCCACTCCTCTAACCAAGAAAGTCAGCCCCCACACCTCTCCAAAACAGAGGCTATAGCCCACAGAGATGATGATTTTCTCCCTCACAAGACTCCCTCTCAAGTGTTTACAAGGTGGAAGAGGAAGGATCTAAGAGTAAAAATGAGGTCTTGGGTGATTTTCATGCAAAGGAGACTATGAAAGCTAAATGAGGGCATATGGTTTAGCCATGAACAATGGAGAGCACCTACGTAACTTGTAAAATTCTGATATAGGGTTGTGTGCACTTCCTATTTATAGGTACACTTAATAAATCCATCGGTATTAGTTCTAATAGCTCCGCTAATTATTTTTCTACCAATTAAGATATGATTGTAAGATATTGTAAAAAAAAAAAATTATAAGTATAACTGTAACATCCCACAAATTTAGGAAATTGTATAAATGTTGCTTAGGGACTTAGAAGCTTGTTTTGAACTCGAAATATATATGAACATATTTATTTAAGGTAGACTTAATTTTAAGTCATGAAAATTAGGTTAATTAAAATTTTAAGGGAATAAGAGTTAGGAAATTGTTTGAATTACAATAATAGATGAGAAGTTATTTTAGGCATAAGAACTTTAGTCTAACGACACAAGAATAATTTAGTGGTGACATGTAGAAGGAAATAAAAAAGACATGGAAACATATTAACCAATGGGCTGGTTAATAATATAACTAAGCATTTGGACTTAAATATTTTGGGTCCTTAGTGTGAGTGGCCAACGGCCCAACGTCATTAAAAAGGGAATGCCTCAGCCCATCTTCTTAAGTCTATCTCATCCCATCTTGAGAAGTCCTTCAATGCAGCCTTTAGTTGGGTAACACTCACCACATGGCATAAATCATTTTTATTTCCCCCTCATGCGCTTAGGACACGCCAAATTCTGATCCTGTGTGAAAATATGGACTTAGCAAGTCAGCCTTCTTGCCTCCACATGCAGCCAATGAAAAGAGGGCAATTCCCTTGCATGAAAACCTATTGGTCAAAAGCCAAACTCCCACACACTCATCCTTATCTCTCCTTGTGCGCATATTGGGTGTAGAATCAGAAAATTTTTCTGGTCAATTGCTAAAAACCCAATCAGCCTATACATGCTCCTTAGGTGTCCAACTAAGTCCCTCCTTCCCTCTTGCATGTCTGCCACCTCCACACTCCTATCTCCTCCTCACTGTTGGACGCTTCATAGGGCAAGGAATGCTGCTTGTTGGCCGTGACTCTAATTTTTTGGTCAGCCATTAAGTTAATCATCAACAAGCCTCAACCTCATCTTCCTTGTTTCCTTTAAGCGTTGGGAAGAGGACAGACTACATTTGAAGTGGGTGCCAAATTCCTAACCCAACCAGTCACGCCATCCATTGTTCCTTGCGCAGAGAAAAGGAGAACTAAACTGGGTAATACCTCCTAGTTTCAAGCAGAAAACATAACCTTACAATGTGTCCCTCCCCTCCTAAAAACCGTGACCTGTGTAGAGGAGAGGCACTAAGGAAACCAAATGGGATACCCTTAATTCTAAACCACCAGTAGCTGTCCGTGTCACATTTATGGAATCACAAACCTTGCATGTTAGTTCTCCTCCCTATTCTCCACAAGAAACCGAGAATCCTAGAGAAACATAGCAACACTAGAGCTGTATTTTTCTCTTCCTTCTACTGTGCACTAATTTGAAGTCAGTCTCTCCAACCCCTGTGCGCTACTGGAGGGAACCTAAGGCTGCACCTCTACCATTTTATTTCCGGACCAAACTCAGCCTCATTTCCTCTCAAATCTGCAAGCCACTTGGAGGAGGAACACTAATAACAACTCTGCATCATGTTCCATTCACCTTTGCTCATGTCATGGGCCACTTGGGAGTATGACAAAATCATGTGATTGAGCACGCATCATATAGGCATCCCTTGATATCAGGGTACTGGGACAGTTAGCGTCAGTCCGCATAGGCCACAGTGGAATTCCCCAAATGATGGTGTCGTGCATGGAATTTCCACTATGATGGCACGCGCACGACGGTGCTATGAGCGTGATGAAGGCGTTATATACGCAATATGATATATGATGAAAAGGATATATGATGAAAAGGTTATATGATGAAAAGGATTTCATGTTTGAAGCGACTGTTTATAATTTTGTGCTTAGTTTAATACTGTTGCATTATTGGTTTTGTTGCCACACTACTGGGATTTCTCTCACCCCTTTGGGACTGCTATTTTTATAAAATGGCAGGAGGACGCAAAAGCATATGAGGACTTGGATATTTGCTGTTGGTTTCTACTGTTGGGCATGTTACTGTGATTGTATTAATTTTATGGATGACTGTATGAAATTGAGAAGCTTATATTACTGTGAACTATGATTTTATTATTGCATTATGATTTTATGACCAGCAAGTATTTTGGAAACGGATTTTAGAAATGTTTTACGAAAACTGAATTCTGATGTTTTGAAAGCTAAGTGTAAACTGTTTTGCGAGCACTTTGCAAGTTAGCGTGCTGGGGCTACGGACCTCCGATTTTCCTATAATTTATATGCGCGTAGCCCCAAGTGTCTAGTTTCATTTTATATAAACCTTTCAAAGAAATTCTGAAAGCTCGATTTATTATGAATTTTACCAGCCAGGACGTTTGTGATATTGTCACTGTTTTACCCCTCTTTTTGCGAGTTATGTTTCGAGGGGCAAACGAACTTCAAATCACTATTATTTTATATATATGAACGTAAAGCCCCAGATGTCTAGTTTCTAGATTACAAAGAATATTTTTTTAATCGTTGAAATGGATTTTATACGAATTTTTAAAGACAGTAAGGTCTGTCAGGAAATTTATATTTTTAGTAAGTTAAGAAATTTTGCGTACTCTGATTTTTGTAAGGAACCCGATTTCAATTATAAGTTTTTAATTGGCCTTGTAAAAATCATTTTTCAGTCTTTAATATATGATTAAAGAACTCTAATCCGCTTAGCAAATAACTCTCTTGGAGACCTACAAGGGAGGGTGTTACAATAACCTTTCTCTTTAAAGTATCGGTGCATCATAATATCTGCTCACTCCATAAATATGACTATTAATTTTGAAAAGAATGTGAATACAATATTATACCGGCTGTTTTGTTTGTATATCCAAAAACAATTTTCCGACTGTAACCTTTGAATATTAATTAATGCTAATTTTTCTGCAAAAGCTTATAAAAAAAGTACCTATCAAGGAAATAATCAAATGGATGAATTTTATTTTTTTTTATAATAAAGGGTCATGGAATAAAAAAAAACTTTTTAGTACATACAAAATAATAAATGGAGATCTTCTGCTGTTCAAAATAGAACTGAGGGCCCCTTTGATTTGTTAAAATCGAATGTTGTGCAGTTCTCATTTCATTTCAGTGGTTCAAATTCATCACTAATTTTTTTTTTCTTTTAATTGCATAGAACATTAGCTCTTAAAATAACTTTTTCTCAAAATAAAAATCTAAAATACTAAAGTCAAATTTTGTTTAAAAAACTTCAACCATTAGATGATTGCTAAATTCTGAAATCATGTCTTCTTATGCATTTTTATACTCAAGTTATATGAAAATCGATCTAATTTATGTAAAAGCAAAAAAAGTCCATAATTGTGTGAATTATATACAAAAAATAAAATAAAATAATTTACAAACCAAAGTAACTGCTAATATAATATCATTATCATTCATCATATCAACCCTTAAACATGGTTAAGAACGGAAATGGAGACTTGGAGAGGGTGGCTTTCAAAAACACGTTTGAAGTCACGAGTTACAACAAAACAACACCAACCTACAACATTGTAAAACACGTTTGATGGCGAAACTGAAACTGTGTGCATGTCTTTCAAATTCACCACACGAGCCCGATCCAGTTATTGTTCTTTTCACAATTCAATTAGGTTCGCTTCCTATTACTATTTTTTTTTTAATCTCATTTTTGTTCTCTTATGCATGTTATTGAATACATCTATTTATTTCAATGGTTTTTGGATGAAGATTTTGTTATTTTAATTTCTTCGTGGTGGTTTTAGGTTGTGAGAAGCTTCAGGCGAATCAATTCTACGAGGTAGTTATCTTGTCCTTCGTTGTTTATCCTATGAATCTATTTGTCGTTGTTCTAGAACTGTGGTTCTGTTAAATCCTCGTACCGTGTTCGTAGCGCAAGTGTTTCGTGCGGTTATGATTTGAAAACTACTAGAATGTCGTTATTCTTGGTTGGATATGCTTGCGGCGTTTGCGTTTAGTGTGTTGTGACTAAGCTCAATGTGATTTGAATTTTGAACTGAGCAAACTGAGACTTGAGCCTGTTATTACTTATTAGCATCTTCTTGTGTTACTGTTGGTAGAGACTGAAAATTGAAGATTTGATGAACACTCAGTATTTCCAATATTAAATTTTGATATATTTAAATTTGTTCGGGAGTGGATTTTTTTTATATTTTTTTTTACGCTTTATGAAATTTACAATGTAGCTCCTGCATAATGAACTCGTGTTAGACAAGGCTTATTCTTCTGCTGATTTATTTTGTCTTTTCCTTTTTGGCAATTTGTTCCTGCTCATTGAGTAAATTTGTGCTTAAATTACTAGCCATAATAACAAAGCATCTCCACTATTTACTGATAATGGAATTGGTTTCCTTTTATTATTTAATGAAATCAGTTTTTATTTAGTGTAGATTGTTTTTTCTGTCCTTTCAACTTTTTCAGGTTGACAGATTCTTATGCAGTTGAAGAGGTAAGCATATTTGTTTACCTTTTCATCCATGTTTGGAGGTCTAGTGGCTCCTATTAATAGTCCACACTTGCGGAAGTCTGGAAGCAGACCGGTTGTTTCTGATCTTGGTAATTTCATTTATATGTCCCTTGACAACATCTTGACTATTTTAACTTTTTCCTATAGTTATATTCTTTCCAAATATCTTACACTAGTGCCATTTCCAGGCGCAAATGAGGTGGAAAATGGTGTTGATGAAGGTTTATTGTATTCAACAGAGGCAAGTGATTTGACGGGTGCTACAATATCAATGAGGGCCACTGCTGTAATTCCCTCACCTATTTTGTTATGGAGATTCAAGGTTCTATTTACTTTTTGGGACTTTCTAGTAAATTTTATTCTAGAATGTATTTGACGGTATTGTTTAAATAAGCAGAAATTTGTTTGACTTATTTAATAATCATGAAATTGCCTCATTTCATTGTTGTAAAGTTTCTTTTTTATTGATTATTTTGGAAAGAAAAAATGTGGGTTGGTTCATGGTTGTCATAATTTGCTTGTGTATAGTCAATCATTCAATTCCTTCTTCGGGATTTCCATTCATTATTGTAATTATGAACTGAAATTCGACTTTAGAGTGTGTGGTTTCTACGGCTTTCCCTGCTTTTTTGGTGTTCTGGTTCTGCTTTTTCAAAATCTTATTGAGATGGATGTCCAGGTACTAATTTTCCTTGTCTGGGGCTTCATCTGTTGCAAGGTTAGTCACATTTTCTCTTTGCAACATTTCTCTGGCACTTCGCTGTGGGATACTAGGATGCTTATAATCAATGAAATTGAGGAAGTATCCCCTTAACATACGGATTATCATATTGTCATAGTCCTGTTGGCTGAATATGAAAATTGCAGATTGGATGGGATTCTGTCATGAGAATGAGTGCAGACAAGCGGGATTTATTTCTATACGAGGCATTTTTGTATTATAATCCTCTTCTTCTTGCGGTGAGTACTCTCTCTCTCTCTTCCTCTCTCTCATAGGGTCTCAGGCTACGTGTGAGAGTATTTGTTTTGCATTCAAGGAGGTTAGCATACTATTTTAAAATTTTCTTTACATTCATATTATCAATGCATTTCTTGTCATTTTTGTATTTCAGACTTTGATGGTTTGGCTTTGGGGAATCAACTTATGGTTTTTCAGTCAAGGTTCTGTCAATTATGCAAAAATATTTGATCTTGATCAAAATCATCTGACTCACAGAGAAGTATGGAAGGTAACAGTTCAAAGGAAATTTCGTGACTGGCTTAAGATTTACTCACAGCCTCATTCATTTATATAAGGGGTTTATACTCACTAATAATAAGGAAAAAGACAAATCTAATCAAATTAAATCAATCCTCATTAATTACGAAATTTACAGTCGGATGAATATGAGATCTATTTCCTTAATTAGAAGATACTATTCAACAGTAACTATTGCCACTTTGACTTATTTCACATTTCGTATTTAGAATCAATTTTTGCAGAACTGGAAGGGGAATAGAGATAGGAGTGGAATGGTTTGGAACTGAACAACCATTTCTGCTCCACTGTTTGGTTTGCTTAAGAATGTATTTGTGTATATAATTTTTTTTAATTTAGTCTATTCTGTTTTTCTTTTGTTCAGTACCTGAAATAAGCAGAGTGAAATCTTAATTATAACTAATAATGATAAATAAGAAAACAAAACAAACATTAATTCTATCTTGCAAGGAATCATTTCCCACCACCCTCGGAGGGAATAGGATTGCTATCCTTGTGGGATAAAAACCTGGAGTGGAATCTGTTAGAGTAGTTGTTAGAATAGTTCAGTGTATATAATATAATAGTCTCACATCTTGTAGGCTTAGCCCATTAGGTCTTTTAGTCTCTTTAAATAAAGAGCTCTTGTACATTGTAACACACAATAATTTAATATACCATTATTCTATTAGTCAATCTCAAGTTGGTACAGAGCTGGTTGTTCTGGGGACTCTTGCTTCCGCTAAAACCCTAAGTCCAATGCTTAGGTATTCTCTTCTACTTTGCTGTGTGTCCTTCCGACAAGTCTTCCTGTACGCCGTGCGTCTCTCTGGCTTGTTTCTGCAATTGTTAGAGTTACTGTTCACACAGAAGTACTGTTCATCGACGGTACTGTTCACGCATTACTGTTCACTGTCTGTACAGTCACTGTTCACGGTCTGTACAGTCAATGTTCACGTCGTCGGAAACACTGTTCAACTTGCCAGAGTTACTGTTCATCGCCGGAAATACTGTCAACTCCAATGATCAACTCGCGAATGTCTTCACTAAAGCTCTTAAAGGTCCTCTGGTTGAATATATTTGTGGCAAGCTGGGTGCTTACAATATATACGCACCAACTTGAGGGGAGTGTTAGAGTAGTTGTTAGAATAGTTCAATGTATATAATAGAATAGTCTCACATCTTGTGGGCTTAGCCCATTAGGTCTTTTAGTCTCTTTAAATAAAGAGCTCTTGTACATTGTAACACACAATAATTTAATATATCATTATTCTATTATTCAATCTCAAGTGAATCAATTTTACATGTCTTCAACCAAACTAAGGAACCCTTGTCCTTGTGGGCAAGAGGTAGATAGAATTATCAGTTCACATACTAAACATACTATTAATAATTTTGTCTTTATGATCCTGTAATCTTTGCTTTGGTCCTTAGACCTCAATTACTGTTCTTATATTGCTAATCTAGAACATAAAAAATTTCATTGCTTTCTTCCCACCCTTTTCCTTTTCTTCAATTTGTTTTTTGATTTTTTAACACTGTCTTTGTTTTTTTCCTCCTCTTTTTAAATTATTTGTCTTTAATGGTTGACTTATTTCTTTTAACTTTTTTATGTTGCTCATCGCAGTGTGCCACATGGATGACAGTTATTGTTCCAACCAGTATGACAGCATATATTTATCTTTATTCTCAAGGAGAAGTCTCATATGCTGCATCACAACCAGTGTAATAGATGCATCCACTCTTATTAGTTATTATATACTCTTTTGTTTACTTGGTTATCACCTTTTCATTTTAGTACTGCAGTATTATTGCATCCTATCAATATATAATTTGATTGCAATGCTGATTAATTTTCAGCAACAAACAATTACTATTAGTTTTGATGAACTAATCAAAGGGGTGTCAGTGCCTTTCTCTGCAAAATGTCTTTGTTCATTTATTCTGCTCATGTCAACAGAATAAAGTTTCAAAGATGCCCGAATGTGTTTATTGGAGCATGATTTTATTGATGAGCTAATGAATATTGGGTTGGGGGCTGCTTTTTTCTCCCCAAAGCATTTGGTTAATATTCTACATAAAGCACTCTTCTGTAACTTCTATAATTTCTACTTAGAGTATCCTCAAAGGGGCATCTCAATAGTTGAGGTTTGGGTATTCTATGATGTCCTAAGTTCAAATCACGTTGGAAGTGGGTCAGGAGGGGAATGGGTTATGCCCCTCCCCATCTGAAATTATGTAGCCTAAAATATGATGCACAAAAAAAATCTGCTTCGGTTGGGACACAGACAATTGCTGATCATAATATGGTTAGTTCATTTACATATTTTCTTTTTCTTGTGGTGGGAACTGGGAGGGAGAACATTTGTTGTACTTTTCCTTCTTGAGCTTCACATTTCATTTTTTAATTCAAATTCAAACCCAATTTTACTTCACAAATTTCTTAACTTGGGTTCACTATTGGTGAAAGGCAGTGCCTGCTTGTCTGAATCACGAAAGCTGTCAAAACTCAAAACATAAAATAAGATGTGCAACATGCAATAGTATATATTTATTCTTTATGTTTCACCTGCAAAAAGGGTTAAGTGTCGTTGGTTTATGTAACTTTTAGGTTAATCTTCAAGTAGAAAATTGCTGCAGTTAATACACGTTGATCTTATTTTATTAATCTATCTACATATTGTTGATGGTTATTTATTAGTTTGAAGTGTTTAGAATTTGACTTGTACCCTTCTGCAGGTTCTCTTATATGCTGCTGTTGTAATGGTTTTGATATTCCCCTTTGATATCTTTCACTTGTCTTCTCGGTATTACTTCTTAAGGACACTTTGGCGTATAGTTTTCCCATTACAGGCAAGTTTTCTCTTATTTTGATATATTATGTTAGCAAATTCCTGCAGTGCTACTTTTGAAATGGCAGACATCGTTTTTTTTTTACAAGAAGCTTCATTTCATGTCCTTGCTCCTAATATCCTTGGCCTACCACACCTTGGTTTTTCTGCAGAATCTAATATTTTCTAGCATATTCATTCTATCCCTTACTAGCTGATTTGAGTAATTTGTTGGTACTTTGTTCAAATGCAATCTAATTTTTTGTATTTTCATGTAACAGGCAATATCATTCTCTGATTTTTTCATGGCTGATATTTTAACTTCCATGGCAAAGGTTTGCTTCCTCATTTGCAATGTTAACTTTCCCTAGGAAAATCCGAGTCCCTTTTTATGTTAATCTACATGATAAAGTACTATGTTTTTAAACAGTTATTTGTTTTTATAGATACATAGGTATGTACGTGTACGTATTGTATTATTACAGATAGAGGTCCAACACTGGCAGTCTGGCACACATAAACTGAGAGTTTATAGTTGACATAATTTTTTATCTAAATTTTGGTTTCTATTAAAGCATTACTAATGTATTTTGATTATGATTGCCAATTTTATGCAGGTCTTTTCTGATTTGGAACGTTCAGTATGTAGAATGGTCCATCGACAGGTTTGATTATGATAAATTGAATCTGAATAGAATTATCAATATTGAAATTTCCTTTTTCCTAGCTCCTATTGCATGCAAATACTTTTTTTATTACTTTTTGCACTTGACTTTCATGTGACTTCTTGTATTATACTAGTAGATATCTGTTAGGTACCAAAGCAGAGAAGGGAAAAAGATTAAGAAAGAAACGTGGATGAATAAGTCTGAACCTTAACACAGGTTCAGATATGTATTACAATGTGATGTTTAAGAGAAATTTACAGTATAGGTAAAGGAGAAATATAGATAACGAAGATGAAATCGAAGAAAAATGTCTAAACGGTGATTATGGTTCTGGTTCTCTCCCAAAAGCCCAAGAGTCCCAATTTTCCAAGATGCCCTCAAAATGGTCTTTCCTCCTCTATATCCCAACCTTCGTGTGATGCTAAAAATGTGACCCCAACCAACTAAATCCCTGCCTTTTAACTAATGCTGAGTCAGCACCTGTAATTGGCAATCCCATGAGCCTCTTCCTCTCATACACCTTCCCAAACTTTCTACTTGGCAGAACAATATCAATATCACACTTCTTCTTTTTAAGGGGGGCGAACCGGAACAGTGGTAAAGCTGTTCTTTCATGGCTGAAAGGTCATGGGTTCGAATCCAGGAAACAGTCTCTTTGTAATTATGCAAGGGTAAGGCTGCGTACAAGGATTATCTCCATCCTACACTCGCAGTCGGGTTTAACGGGAAGTGGTTTTTATTGTGAAGACCAAAAACCAACTTATGGTCAAATACTTATTGTTTGCCATTACCTAATTAAGCAGAGTGGGTTGAATCTTCTTAGTGATAAAACCAATTCCTGGGTCTACATCTAACAGACTAACACTGTAAGCTTTTAGGATAATTGGCTTTTGACATAGTATTAGAGCCTTTTTGATTAAATTGTCAGTGGTTGATCCTTGCTGCCCCTTCACTTTTAATTAAGTTTCAGCACAAGGTTCGTCCGTTGCATCCGCACTTCAAGTCTAGAGGGATTTCTTATGATAGGGACATTTTAGAGATAAAACTTACTCCTTGGTTTAAACCTAAGTGCTCAAGTTACTAGGATTGACTGGATCCTTAGCAGTGCTATTGTGTAGATGGCGGCCTTGATTTAGCAGAAGGTTACGCTTACGAGTAGGAGAAAGATTATGTTTAAGATCACAATCACCTACTCTTAAACTCCCCTTTTGACTGAATTGCTGAAGGAACAAAAATCAGAATCCATAGGTAAACATATCAGGAATGATGTAATGGGTTTTTAAAGGCAAGTGATGTATTCTTGAGGAGATTTAACTGGAAACAAGATATTCAATACTTTTATAAGCTTGAAGTTTCAACAGACTACAATGTTATATTTTAAGGGCTGTGATTATCTGGAGATATTTCTGGTTGAACAGTGAGGTGTGGTATATGAAACGATGTGATCAACTTCAAGCATATTACATATTTGTTTTTCTAGCATTGCGATCATGGAACATGGTAACTTTATCTCGTTAAATAATTTTATTCTCCAGTACCCTGGTGTAATTAAATGGCCTGACCTTTAAAGATCAGAATTAAGATTGGACCCATGTACGGGTCTGTCCTGTGGAGGTGAAAAAGTCTAATTTGCTGCTGCGGTTATATTTCTTTAACCTGTTTAACAATTTTAAAAACTTTTTAGATGCATTAAATTTTCACCCCACCCGTTTTAGTCGAGGTTTAATGGGGAGTGGGAGTGGTTTAGATACATTAAATTTCGAAATTGACAGTTTAAGGAAACTCCCTTGGCTGTTTGGTTATGTTTTTTGCTTAAGGAGACAATCTTACCATTCTTTACTACGGTATATCTTATTTATTTACAATTAGACTTTTGGACTTGTATGTATCTGTTTTTATGTTACAGCATATGCTTAAGCTCTCTCATTTAAGATATGCTTTTACAAAATATTTGTAGGTTGCCACGATTGCTTGGTTGGAAGCTGATTCTGTTTGTGGCAGTCACTCTGTCGCAATCCCCTTAGCTCTTCTCTTGCCTTACTTTTTCCGTTTAAACCAATGTCTCCGGCAGTACAAAGACACGGGGGAGAAAGCTGCTCTTTTGAATGGTTAGAACTCTTGGTTGCTCTAATAGTCTAAATATTTTTTATTGTTATTTTCTTTCTTAAAGAAAAAAAAGAGGAAAAACAATTAGAGTTCAAAGAAAGAATGTTGCATGAAGGACCATGGGAGTTTGTTGGAGGAGTTAATGAAATATGGAATAAGATGGTTATGTGTATTCAAAATGTGGGAAAGAGGGTGCTAGGAGAAAGCAAAGGAATTGGATTCCATACAAAGGAAACATGGTGGAATGGAGAGGTGCAAGAGGTTATTAAACAGAAAAAGGAATGCTTTAGATCTTTGTATAAAAGTCCCAACGATAATAATTTGCAAAAGTTTAGATTGGCGAGAAAAAATGCAAAGAAAGCAGTGCAAGAAGCTAGAGGTAAGATTTTGCCGATTTGTATAAAAATCTTGGGAGCAAGGATGGTGAAAAAAGTATAAATAAGAAAAGTAAAGACCTCGCTCAAATTAGATGCATCAAGGATGAAAACCAAAAACTTTTGGTAAGAGATGAAGATATAAATGAAAGATGGATGAACTACTTTAACAAACTTTTTAATGGGGATGGCGATAAAAGCTAGGTGGGCTTGGAGGATGCTTATGATGATCTGAATAGAAGATTTGTGCGCAAAATCAATACACATGAAGTCAAGGAGGCTTTAAAGAGGATGAAGACTAATAAAGCTTTGGGACCCGATGGCGTACCTATTGAAGTGTGGAGGGGCTTGGTGGAGGTGGCAATAAATTAGCTGACCAATCTTTTCAATAAGATTCTTCAAACAAATAAGATGCCTGATGCTTGGAGGAAGAGTGTTCTTGTGCCTATTTACAAAAACAAGGGAGATATCCATAATTGTTCTAACTATAGAGGCATTAAGCTTATGAGCCATACTATGAAGTACTGGGAGAGAGTTATTGAACCTCGTTTGAGGAGAGAGACCAAGGTATATGTAAATCAATTAGAATTTATGCCAGGAAGATGTATCACAGAAGCTATTTTCTTGATGCGTCAATTGATGGAAAGATATCGAGAAAAAAAGAAGGATTTACATATGGTGTTCATAGATCTTGAAAAAGCATACGATAAGGTCCTAAGAAAAGTTTTATGGTGGATTCTTGAGAAGAAAAAATTACCATCAAAGTATGTAAATGAAATCAAGGATATGTATGATGGGGCTACTATATGTGTGAAAGCTTATAATGGAACATCAAGTTATTTTCCTATTACAGTAGGTGTACACTAAAGTTCGGCTCTGAGTCCTTATCTCTTTGCCTTAGTGATGGATGAACTAACAAAAGACATTCAAGAGGAAGTGCCGTGGTATATGCTTTTTGCAGATGATATTGTGCTTATTGATGAGACCAAAGACGTTGTTAATAGGAAACTTGAATTGTGGAGAAGCACTTTAGAGTCTAAAAGTTTCACATTAAGCCGGAGCAAGACTGAGTATATGAAGTGTGAGTTTTTTCTGGTAAGATATGGAGATCAAGACCCTGTGCATCTACTTGGTCAAGAGGTACTCAAGAAAGATGCTTTTAGATACCTAGGATCAATTTTGCAAAAAAGTGGTGAGATTAATGGGGATGTAAATCATAGAATCAGAGCAGGATAGATGAAATGGCGGAGTGCATATGGATTTTTGTGTTACTGCAAAATTCCCCTTAAGCTAAAAGGAAAATTCTATAGAACAGCAGTAAGGCCTGCAATGTTATATGGAGCTGAATGTTGGCCAGCACATAGGAAACACGAGCATAAAATGGGAGTAGCAGGAATGAGGATGTTAAGGTGGATATGTGGTTATACGAGGATGGATAAGATAAAAAATGAAGATATTCGACGAAAGACAGAAGTAGTACTGGTAACTGAAAAGATGAGGGAACATAGATTGAGATGGTTTGGGCACGTAATGAGACGGCCCCTGGATGTTCTTGTAAGAACAAAAATTTGTTACTAAGAGCTCAACACAAAGGGAGGTAGAGGTAGACCGAAACTTAATTGGGGAATGGTAGTTAAACAAGACTTAATGGAGTAAGATATAGATTGGCGGACGGTGTGTCTTAGGACGGAATGGAGAAAAGCTATAAACGGAGTGGAAGGTTAAATCCATTGTTACTCCTATGTTCCAAATGGTCCGTTTTTAGTCTTTTTAGTCCTTTTCCTCTTCAATCCCCCCTCTCTTTCTTTTCCCTTGTCTTTTATCTTATTTCCCCCTTCCCCAATTTTTATTTTTTTTATTTTTAATTTTATTTATTTATTTTTATTTTATTTTATTTTATTTTTTAATCTCCTCTTATTTATCATTGGGTTCATCTACTACCGACCCCAATTAGCTTGGGTTAAAGGTGCTTGCTGTTGATGTTGATGTTGTTATTTTCTTTTTTAAAACTTCTACTGTGTTATTATCATGTAAAATTTTGCCGGCTTATGAAAATGCTATTATACATTAATCTTTAAAATATATTTTTGTCTTAGGTCCTGATTATATTAAAATAATGTTTTCGATTAATTAAATCTAGTGCATGTTTCTATTCGTTATCATTTGAAGGTCTGTCTAGTAGCTTATTTTGAATCAAGCCTGATATCTGGATTCTCATTGAGTAAATATCATTTTCGGTCCTCAACAAATTTTACGATGCCCGTTTTAGTCCCTAGCAAATAAAAAGGCTATTCGTGGTCCCTGAAAAATTCAAAGTGGACTTATTTTAGTCTTTTTGAGGGACTAATGTGGGTTTTTTTGAATTTGTGAGGGACCACGATTTCAACTAAATTGGTCCATTTTGAATTTCTTAGGGACCACAAATAGCTTTTTTATTTGCTAGGAACTAAAGCGGGTATTGTGAAATTTGCTGAGGACCAAAAAGGATATTTACTCTTGATTTTATGTAAAAAATTTATGCTCAGAATTCTTTATATAAAACAGAATAATTTTGTTATCAAAAAAAAAAAAAAAAAAACAGAATAATTTTACTCAGCTTTCATTTTATGTGACTGGACATAGAATTTGTAAAGATATTAGGCAGTTGTTCAGTGTTTGAAAAAATAATTAATACAAAATGAGATATGAATAAAAAGGGAAAAATGCATAAAGGCTTCCCATGATTGGAAAGTCAAAAAGTAGCAATCTTATCACTGTTTCAAGGCTGGCCCTCACAAAATGCGATAAGAACAAAGTATCAATTAATCAAAAGGCCTGACTGCTCTCTCAATCTTTCCCTTCGTTTTTAACCTTCTTGAGCTGTTTGTGGGAGGGACATTTCAAGAATTGTCATCAATTCATTGTTAGATTGTGCAAAATTGAATTCCATTTAGTGTATCAGAATTATTTGAATTTCATAATTTCATTTGATATTGACATTGTGATTTTGTTAGGAATTCGATCAGTCATGTACAATTTCGTAGACCATTTTTTTTCTTAAAATAATCATAATGTTGTTGTGTGTATTTTAACTGTTTGCCTTTATTTTAGAGTAAATACCTTTTTTTGGTCCTCAGCAAATTTCACGATGCCCATTTTAGTCCCTAGAAAATAAAAAGACTATTCGTGGTCCCTAAAAAATTCAAAATGGACCCATTTAGTTGAAATCGTGGTCCCTCACAAATTCAAAAAAGACCCACATTAGTCCCTCAAAAGGACTAAAATGGGTCTACTTTGAATTTCTTAGGGACCACAAATAGTCTTTTTATTTGTAGGGACTAAAGCGAGCACCGTAAAATTTGCAGAAGACCGAAAAAGGTATTTACTCTTTATGTTATATCTTTTCAATCATTAAAAAGAAACAAGTTAACATTTTTCTGAGACAGATGTAAGATGTTTTTAGTGGTTTGTAATGAATTCACTTTTTTGCTTATGGTTTCAGCTTTAAAATATTCAACCGCTGTGCCAGTGATTTTTCTTTCTGCCTCGAAATATCATGTCTTCCCTGAAAGATGGACAAACTTATATAGGCCTCTCTGGCTTATGTCAAGTGTTGTGAACTCATCATACTCTTTCTACTGGGATGTAACTCGAGATTGGGACTTGAGGTACCTAAAATGTTTGTCCTACCATGCACCTTCCATAATATCTTTGGAAACTTAACTTCATTCTAACATCAGAAATATAGATCCTTTGTTCGGAGAAACTATTTTTCACCTTGGCTTAAAGTGCTTAAAGTGCTTTTATTTGCCAGGGCCAAACAGGCATAAGCTACTGGATTAGGTCCAAATTCCTGTTGGTATCTAGTGTAACATGCTTGGGGTTTGATGTCATGTGGTAATAACATTTTTAATTTTTCTGTGCACGCGAGGTTTTTTATTGCAACTTCTGCTTCTGTAAAGACACATATATAGCTTTTTTGTGTTTGCATTATAATTTTACATGAATCAGAGTCTTGATCACATGATTTGACGTGCCCAATTGTTTATTTTGGATAAGGTATTGGGCAAGCTGAGGGGTTAAAATGTTTAAAACTCATAATAACATTAACATATTTGGTATTGGTTAAATTGATGGAGCCATTTTACATCTGTTGCAGTCTTTCCATTGAGAACCTTGATAGATACTACATTTATTGTGTTAGTTCTGAGTAGTGTCTTGTGGTGCACTCTAATAAACATTCCTTTCTCTCTTTGCCAGTGGCTTCACTCGAATATTCAAGTTTAACAAGCCACATTTGCTGTCACATCTGTTATATGGAAGGATATGGGTAAGGACTGTTACATGCAAGTAGCTTGAATTCTTTTTTTCTTTCTCCCAAGAAAAAAGTTTATAACATTGATTTTTCAAGACGAGAGAGTTTTCACCTTGTACCTCCAACACCTTTACTAAGTTATCAAGTATTCCTAGCACAGTTCTTTGCATGTAAACAAGTTGGAGAATTTATTACATTATTATAAACATATTAATATATGATTTTAACTGGTTTTATGAATATTTAAGACTTAAGAGCCCACTTCAGAAAAGAATGAAAATAACAGTAGTGATATATACACCTGAGGTTGCAGGTTTACTTTTGGGTGATTGGAAGCAATCTAGTTTTGCGTTGTACATGGACATACAAGCTCTCTGCACATCTTCGCCATAATCACATCACAGTGTTCACAATTGCTGCCTTGGAGATCTTTCGCCGCTTTCAGTGGATCTTTTTCCGTGTAGAAAATGAGTGGAACAAGATGAATTCCAAATCACACATACAACTCTCACTTGATAGCATGCCAAACGAGGGAGAGAAATTACTTCATTCCAATAACCACAGTGTATAGGCTTCGGAACATTGTTTATTTGAGGTTTATTTTAAGGGATTAATGTTTCTTTGGTTGTAAGAGATAATTTTATCTACTACACATATATAAAAGTGTGTAGACCCCGTGTGAGGCCATGTGAATAGAAAAGAGAGAAAAAGAAAACATGGGCCCCACTGTAGAAGATAAAATTATCTCCTATTACATGAGAAACACTAATCCGTTATTTTAAATGTTTTATGATAGGGGTTCACATTCCATTTTTGTCATCTCAACGGCTTTCACCCCCCGTTATTAAAATGTCATTCTTTATTCATATAAAGATTAGTTTATTCAAATTATTACAGTGCTCATTTTGTGTATCTAGCAGCTCCACAATTTAATCATGTTGTATCCTTGGCAAGCCTTCTGATTGATGACATAGTCTATAAATGAAACCTACGGTATCACAAGTGTTTTATGTATCCTTGCCGTGTCGTTTTCAGATTACGGTCTTTCAAAACTGCCAAAACATCACCGAAAGTTAGCTGTGTGCAACACTTCATTTACCAACTCAACCAACCATTTACCAAATCTACCATCCAAGACTAGCAAAATATTTTGCTAAAGACTACCAAAATATGATTCTGCCGTTGCTATCATCATAAATAAATTGAACTAATGCTTTTCTGTAATTGATTAAGCTGCTGCTGGTAACTTTTATGCGATTGATAAGGCCCAGGAAGTGCCTAGCATTTATATTACACGAAGCTGGACCTCCTTTTTGGTTGTACTCTCATATCAACGAAGTTGACGTTGCCAAGCTGTAATGGTTTTCTCCCTAGACAAACCACATTCAAGTGAGAACCTTGTTCAAGAATTTTATTGACTCCTAATTTCACAGCATGTTTTATAAAGGGAGAAATTTTTGCGTAGTGCACCTAATTAGGAATGTTATACTTCAAAAAATTATTGAGACATCATTAATTAATATTTAGTTGTAGTTAATTATCATAATTAATAGTATGCACATATGACACATCGGGTTTGTGCTAGAATTTCTCCTTAAAAGGATGCTAAACTTCCAATCGAAGCCATCTATAACTTAACTTTATAAATTCTAAATAAACTTAATGTACACAATTAGGTTCGGTCTTCCTCTAAGCCTCTCAAACTGCAACCAAAGAGCTACTGCAATGTCTCCCTTGGGTGAAACCACATTCTGATTGTCCCCTATTTTTGCTTTCTTCTTTCATTTTTTATTTTTTTTTGGGTACATTCTTCTTTCATTTTCTTAATTGCAGACATTATAACAACGTTGTATTATATGCTCGCACAGGAGGAGTGAGCAATGCTGAATTGAACAGGCTTGACTTAGGTTGCTCTTTCTGTTGGACTTTGGATAAGTGGCAATGTTGGAGGTATTTTTCCTTTTTAATTAAAGGGTGGCTACTGGCTACACATGGCTTAAGTCAACTTTGGTCAAAATTCTTATACCTAATTTGTTCCCTAAACATCTAGACTTGGAAAATTTGTCCCAAAGTTCATCTATAAATAGAGAAGGAAGAAAAGCCTTGAATAATCAAGAAAGTATTTGAAAGAGTTCCTCCTAGAGATAGAAATAGAGTTCCACCACAAATGTGAAAGGAATCCTCCGAGTGAGAGATAAAATTGTTGTCAACCATCCTTAGTGGATGAAGTATTTGTGCAAATCTCTAGCCTTGCACTAGAGAGATCATCTTTGTAATCATACTTTCATAATAGAAGTTTTTGTAGACCTATTGGTCTCGTGGTTTTTACTACTCACATCGAGGAGGAGGTTTTCACATTTAAATTTTCTTTGTGCTCTTTGTGTGTTTTTGCTGTACTTCTTTGTTTTTCTCATCTTGGGATAGGTTTACTTCGCTTCTGCAAATAGGAGTTGCTCTAAGCCAAGCTCCGTAACTCGACAATGGTATTAGAGCTCTTAGATCAAGGGCTTTGTGAGGTTCAAGATGGAAGGTACCATCACTCATGATGGTGACATGTTCGAACTCAACTTAGAGAATTACTCCTACTAGAAATCGATGATTGGGAATGTAACGCCTGACCACTAGAAAGATCAATGATTGTTCCCACATACTAACACAAGACTTTTCAGCGTGCTTTATCCTCTCTCACACACTTTCCGATAAACTTCTCAGGAGGTTACCTATCCCAGAATTGCTCAAAGTCAAGCACGTTTAACTACAGAGTTCTTAAATTACGAACTACCGAAAAGTATATATATATATATATGTATATATATATATATATGTATATATATATATATATATACATATATATATATAGGGGAAACAACTTCTCATTTGACAGAAGAACTTCTTTTTTGCAGCTGAGAGAGTTTTTTGGTGGGACCCATTGATTGTTTTGAAAAAAGACAAAACAAAAAACAAATCACACATTTCAATGCTTTGTTATGTGATTGCTGCAACAAAAAAACTTCTCCATTGAAAGGAGAAGTTGTTTACCCATATATATATATATATATATATATATATATATATATATTGTTAGAATAGGTAGTACCGATTAATTCTTTTAAGTTATCATCAATTGTACAGTCCTATACCTGCACAGCCTCTGGATCCCTCTCATTCGGTGATGATTTGATTCATTCATGTACCTCTCCTACTAGGAACACTCCTTGTCCGTGCCTTTTTTTTTGCACTAATGATCACTCCTCACCCTCGTCAGCTCCCGGGATGTTATAGGGGATCAACTCAATTGTAAAGGTTTGTATTATTCAGTCTTAAGCACAAAGAAGCCGAAAGGAAAAGGCGACAAAGAGTGGGAGCTCTTGAATCTCAAGGCAGGAGCAATGATCCAGAAGTACATTGACAAGAGTTTGTTCAAGCATGTGGAGACTACACCAATGCTCATGAACTATAGACGAAGCTGAAATCCTTGACTCAAATTAAGATGCCAAGGAATAAAGCTCACTTAGTGCACCGACTTGTGAAGTTAGACTATAGGGACGAACAAAGCATGATCGAGAACTTGAACACATATAAAGGACTCGTAAATTAGTTAACAAAGATTGACATGAAGATCAATGACAAGTTGCAAGCTCTCCTGATTCTCAGCTCATTCCTTGAGTTGGGACACGTTGGTGGTGACACTAAGCAACTTAGTCCCATAAGCGAAGCTAACCATGGAGTCGGTCGCAGACAACCTATTGAATGAAGAGGCTAGAAGGAAAGCATAATGGATGACTAGCCAGTATAAGGCTAATGTCTTCGAGAACCTAGGAGGTTGGAGAATAAAGGAAGGAGTAAAAGCCAGGTCGAGACAAGTCTCAAGGATGGTCAAAGTCGAGATTCGACTTAGCATGATACTATTGTGGGAAGTCGGGTCACAGAAAGTACGATTGCCAGATGTTCAAAACGAGATCAGAAGAATGAGACAGTGAAGCCGAACCAGGTAGATTTAAGAAAGAAGGATTAGAAGAGTACCGTGGTTGTAACTGTTGATGCCAAGGATGATTTCTTCCTAATCGGTAAGAACAATTATATTAATGTAGCGTATGATGATTGTTCGTAGATTGTAGACTCAAGAGCATTTTTCTATGTCACTCCACATAAAGGGTTTTTCTTATCGTATCAAAGTGGCAACTTTGGTACTGTGAAGGGGGGTAACTTTTTCACTAGGTTATCAGCAAGATAGTTGACATTGGAGAAATCACCATGATGGCGGATGTCAGATGCAAATTGATTCTGAAGGAGGTGAGACATGTTTTCGATATGTGTCTCAACCTGATCTGGACAAGAAGGCTAGATGAAGTCGGGCTAATGAACTACTTCGATGCAAGTAAATGGAAACTTGCTAAAAGGAAGTATGGTAGTTGGCCAAGGTAAGAAAAAAATTATCCTTGTATGTTATGCAAGGAAAGGTCAGCAACAGATAGACAGATATCGTCAGAGATGGTTTTAGTCTAGAGCTCTGGCATAGGCGACTTGGACACATAAGTAGCGTTCAAGTCTGGAGCTCAAAGTGTACACATGGCTCAAGACAACTTTGTAAAAATTCCTATACCTAGTTTGTTCCCTAATCAATCTAGGCTTGGAAAAATTGTCCCAAAGTTCATCTATAAATAGAAAAGGAAAAGAAGCCTTGAATAATCAAGCAAGCATTTGAGATAGTTCCCCCTAGAGAGAGAAATCCTCCAAGAGATAAAATTATTGTAAAGCATCCTTAGTGGGTGAAGTACTTGTGTGCAAACCTCTAGTCTTGCACTAAAGAGATCATCTTTGTAATCTTACTTTCACAGTAAAAATTTTCGTGAACCTATTAGTCCTTTGATTTTTACTACTCATATTGAAAGAATTTTCTATGTTAAAATTTATTCTGTGTGTTTTTTTTTTGTACTTAATTGTTTTTCTCATGTTAATGCAAATAAGATTGTTCCGAATCAAACTCCTTAACCCAACAAGCATTTATTGGATTATTCGTGATCCAGTTAGGTTTTCTGTATTTTATGTTCATATCAAACCATGTCTTTTTCCTCCGATAGAAAAGTATGAAACTATTGTGATATGGGAATCATACGAACAATAACAATATGGCTTTAATTTTAACAAATACTTATCTATGCATTCTTCTCCTTCTCTCTCGAACTCATTATAAATTAATAGTTTTTTTTGAAAATTTGTAAGTGGTTAGTTTCTTTGAAGCTTAGTTTAATTTTGCTCGTATTAACAAATTCAAGTATTTGGCTGATAACAGTACCCGTTGAACATAGGGTACCACGGGTGAGACCTATGTATGCATTGTTAACGACAGTGGTATGTGGTTGGTTTTGGTGACATCACATAAAAAAACACAAAAATCACATGCAATTACAAAAAATCAAAATGCAATATTCAAGGATAAAAATTGCAGGATATTAAACTCGAGCCCAATATTAGACATTATGTCCTTAAGGCAATTTTGTCCCCTTTATGGTGCCTAAGGTTAGAGGAAAAATGCCTCCCAAGATAGAAAGTGTAACCTCTGTTTTGATGGTGGCACTACCAGAAGAAACGGTACCAGCGGACACAACGAAAGCTGACCAATCGCAGACAAAGGCAGTATGTGGGAATTATTTTGGCAGAGTTTTGGAAAGGAGTCAGAAAACTTGATAATTATTGTTTATAGGCCACTAGTATTTATAAAGATAAATGGTCATAAGATGAAAAAGCATGACTATTTAGAAACAAAAGGCACGACGTTCGCTTGCAAAGAGGCACAATTCTTCATAAGCGAAAAGACGCGATTGTTCACAAG